ATATGTGTGGGGCATAGGTCCAGCCGGTGTAAGCTGTTTGATTGTTGGCTCAGTCTTCGAGAGCCCACAAGGGTACAAGTTAGTTGATTCGGTCTTCCTGTAGAGTTCCTAACAACTTCGGGACCCTCAATCCTTTCTGCAACTCCTCCATAAGTGTCCCCAAGCTCTATTCAATGTTTGACTGTGGATCTCTGCATCTTTCTGAGTCAGCTGCTGGGTGGAACCTCTTAGAGGACAGCCATGCTAGGCTTTTGTCTGTAATCATAACATTATCATTAGCAATGTCAGGGATTGGTGCTTGCCCATGCGATGGGTCTCTAGTTAAGTTTGTTATTTCTTGGCCTTTCCCTCAGTCCTGCTCCATCTACCTTCCCTGCATTTCTTGTAGACAGGATAAATTTTGGCTCAAACGTTTTGTGGATGGATTGGTGTCCCTATGTCTCCACTGGGGCTCATGTCTGGCTACAGGAGGTGACCTCTTCAGGTTCCATATCCGCACTGTGAGTTTCAGTTAAGGTCACCTCCATTGATTTTTGGAAGTTTCCACTCTCCCAGGTCTCTGATATTTCCTAAAGATGGCCCCACCCCCAACCTTTGGCAGCTGTAGATTTCTATTAATTCTCATGGCCAGCCTGCCATCACCCTATGTCTCCCCAAACCTGAACCTGAATTCCCACCCCGAACCATTTCTCACTCCTTATCCCTTCTCCAACCCAGTTCCCACCCTCCATCTGCTTCCTACAACTATTTTATTCCCCTTTCTAAGTTAGATTCACACATCTTCTCTTGGGTTTCCCTCATGTTTAGCTTCTTTGATTCTTTGATTCTGTGGAGTATAGCATGGATATCCTGTATTTTATGGCTAATATTCACTTATAAGTGAGTACATACCATGCATGTTCTTTTGGGTCTGAGTTCCTGCACTCAGGATAATATTCTCAAGTTCCATCCATTTGCCTGCAAAATTCATGATGTCTTTGTTTTAAATACCTCAATTATTATATTCTATCATGTTGATGTAGCACATTTTCTTTATCCATTCTTAAGGATAAAGAAAATAAGGGATATCTAAGTTGTTTCAAGTTTTTGCTATTATGAATAAAGCTGCTATGAACACAGTTGACCAAGGGTCCCTGTAGTATAGTGTGGCATCTTTAAGGTATATGCCAAGGAGTGGTATATCTGGGTCTTGGGGCAGAACTATTCCAAGTTTTCTCAGAAATGAGAAGATTGATTTCCAAAGTGGTTGTACAAGTTTGTACTCCCACCAGCAACGTAGGAGGATTCTCCTTGCTCCACATGCTTGCCTGGATATGCTATCACTTGAGGTTTAAGCCAATCTGACAAGTGTAAGATAGAATCTCTGAGTTGTATTGATTTGCATTGATTTCCCTGATTGGTAAGTACCTTGAACATGTCTTTAAGTGTTTCTCAGCATTCAAGATTCCTCTGCTGATAATTCTATATCCCAGGATTAATTGTGCTATTTGGGTTGTTAGTGTCTAACTTCTTGTGTTCTTTGTATATCTTGAATATTAGCCCTCTATCAGATGCAGCATTGATGAAGATACTTTCCCAATCTGTAGGCTTGCATTTTGGCCTAATGATAGTGTCCCTTGTCTTGCAGAAGCTTTTCAGCTCATGAGGTTTCATTTGTCAATGTGGACCTTAAAGCCTGAGCCATTGTGCTGTTCAGCAGGTTGTCTCCTGTACCAATGAGTTCAAGTCTATTTCCTATTGTTTCTTCTATTAGATTTAGTGTATCTGGTTTTATGTTGAGGTCTTTGATCCACTTGGACTTGAGTTTTGTACAGGGTGACAAATGTGGATCTATTTGCATTCTTCTACATGTTGACATGCAGTTAATCCAGCACCATTTGTTGAATATGCTTTCTTTTTTCATTGTATGGTTTTGGTGTATTTATCAAAAATCAAGTGTACATAGGTGTGTGGATTTATTTTTGGATTTTTGATTCAGTTCTATTGATCAGCCTGTCTGTTCCTATACCAATACCATGCAGCGCTTATTATTGTTACTCTGTAGTACAGCCTGAGGTCAGGAATGGTGAAACCTCCAGAAATTCTTTTATTATTCAGGATTGTATTAGCTACCCCGGGTTCTTTGGATTTCCATCTGAAGTTGAGAATCTACTCAGATGAACAAAGTCAGTAGTTTTGTTTGTGAAATATGAAGGAAAAATCTGGGATAGGAGGATTTGGCTTTAAAAATAGGCCCAGAGTATTTTTTAAAAAATGATACATAAATATTGTTTTGAGTTTGGCAAAAACTAGTCAGATGTAATGAACCACCATTTACGATTGGGCATTTGTTGCTATTGCAATTTTTATATTATCTGGAGATGAGGGTATAACTATGCAGACAATGCTGGACTCAAAATCACTGTGAAGAACCCCTGGGGTTGATAAATAAACCCAGATTGTTGGATTGATTATAGCCTGAGATTAGCCCCTGGGTATTAACAAATCTTAAAAAAAAAAAAGTAGTCACTTAGGTCACTTGGCTGTTCTTCCTGAAAGCAACATGGATATTGAAGACTTGGAAGAGATTTTCTCGAAAATCATACAGTAAATATAGAAGCAAAGGATTTCTGGCATGGTCATGATGACGTTTGTGGTACAACTGTCAAAACCATTACTTGCATAAGAGAAAATCATCTAAGTATAAATTCTGATATGTAATACCTATGATAATGTTTGCCGAGTTTGCTCTGCTCAAGATTAAGTTTACCCACTTATGAGCAAAAAATTACAATGCCTTACTATTTTAATAAATTATAAAGGTGACCTTCACAATGGCTGTATTAAAAGTCAGGGGAGCATATGAAGGAGCTAACGAAGGACAAGTTCCAGACAGACTATGATTCTATTCCTGTGCAGGACACTACAAATGAAAATTTCACCTTGGTAATTTCTAGAATCTAAATTACAACCTTTTTTTTTTTTCAGTTTCTCTGAAGCAGTGTTATAAAGGGCTTGCTCATCACACTATCTATTACTTCATCCCAGAATATGGATATGAAAATAAGAGAGAGTTATAACTCCCATGACTGGTTGCCTACTTGATAATAAAATGAATGCGTGAAAAGCAGCCTAAGGAAGAATATTTTATTAGATCAATTAATATCACAGAGGAGTTTTGTTCCAGGGTTAATCATTGGAGTGAACTCTTCTCTTGGAGTTAAGGTTTGGGGCTAGTCATAAAAGTAACTAAGGAAGGACACCTATGCTCTTCTCGATCAAGGACTTTCACTTAGAATTAGCATCTTAGGTACCTGGAGATTTATCAAACAACATATTTGCCAAAGAAATCATGGGGAGAGCTTGCTTTTCAGGAGTACTTCATTCTCTGTAGCTACAGCTTCCTTACAGATGAAGAAAATGTGACATCATTCAGGTAATCTCTAGGTTTTATTATTTAAAATTATTTGTAAACTAAAAAAATAACACAACATAATCTAATATTAATTCAGCCAATACTAGCAATTTGTATGTATTATCTCTGACCCTGTAGATGCTTGTTTACAGGTTGGTGAACTCATCGTGTATGGCATTCACATTAGGAACTCTATGCCTTATGTAACCAAGGAACCCAACACTAATCCTCTGCAGATCTGTAGAAATTGTGCTGACATAAGTAATGATACTGAACTAATAAAGAGACAGAGGTTAGCTTAGACATGGGAACACAGGTTTTGGTACATGTTCTGTTTGCCTTGATGCTTTTGTTTTGAAGAGAAGCAGTGTATCATAGTACCATAGTGAGAACAAATGATGGCATAATTCCATTCACCTCTTTACAAGAAAGCAAAAGATAGAAAGAGATCTATGGACCTCCCAGTAGGGACCATCTCATAATGGTTTCATCACTTTACAATACCACCATTATAGGGCTAGAATCTTTGACACAAAGCCATATGTGGGGCATTTGTCTAAATCATAGCAAGCATTATCATGATGAATATTATTTTTCCTCCTATATCTCTGATGGAATGTTAAAAGCATAAGGGAAATATTAATACTTTATTACAAGTTAAAAGAGAATCATCTTAAAAATCTGGCTGAGTCTGGTTCAGTGGAATCATTCAGAGCTGATAGCAATCCATATACACATGTACTCATAAAATGTGTACTTGTAAGCCCATATACGCCTGTACTCATGTATTCAAAATATTAATGCATTTTAAAATTTATTAATGCCATATTTGTTCTTATGAGGAATATAACATTAGATGACCTTGTATGGAAACAGAAATTCCTCATGCTAGACCTAATATATATGTTGTTTTAAATTAAAACATGAATGCACCACTATTACTAAAGACCAATTATGGTTTATCTCATAATCATCCTCCACAGGTCCAAGATCAAGACTTGATCAATAGCTTTAAATCTCTGGGAAGATGACAAGAACTATTAAGTGATAGGGGCTAAATGAAAGAAGTTAGGTCATTGGAATGTTCTCAAAGGAGACATCGAAACACAACTCACTCTCTCTCTCTCTCTCTCTCTCTCTTCCC